CCAGCCTGTCCAGATCTCGCTGGATGGCAACTTTGCCTGCCAAAAGGCAGCACTCCAGGGACACAAGCTGGCACAACTTCCAGAGGGGAAGTTGAACAACTCCTCACCAGTGCTGGTGCTGCAGAGGGCACTTGGGCTTCCCCAGCCACGGGCTCTACTTGGTCTAATGGGAACTGAAACACCACAGCTAAGCCAAGGGCTCTGAATAAAAAAAGCAGCATCTGGATAAAGTTTAATATTCTGTTATGCCGGAAATCATATATAAGATCTAATGAACTCTTCTGGGCTTAAATAATTGAGAAGCAGGAAATGCTCCCCACACAGTAATCTGGATGCACTCTGACTTCTGAACACAATCTCCCATTCATTCTGGACTGGCATCTGGCAGTAAAAATATATTTGATCTTCTATTATTAGTTGGAGGCAAGTAAAAATATTTACTGATTTTAATAAAGTAAGTTATGCCTGCATCAAGAAGGCTCCTCCAGCTCCTAAAGTTATTCACTGGCCAGAACTAAGCATTTACCAAGTAACTAAGCTCATGCACGCATGGACTCTTGAGCTGGGGACTTCTGTCTTGGTTTACACTGTTACATAAACAACATGGTGAAAAGAATTTTAATGGCATTTTTATTAATGGACTTCCATTAACATTACATGGGCTGTTGTACTAACTGGGACTTATGAAGGCCAATAAAACAACAAAGCAGACTTTCTAATTGCCAAACAACCAAATAAATATACAGTGAATGCACTGCTTGTTGGGTTAAAGATTAAACAGGGCCTGGAAGCAAGGATAATGAGATATCACAAGCAAGCCTTTATACAATTAACCATTCCTTCCAGGGTACCTTTTCCTCCAGGGGATAGTACAGCCAGAGCAGCTGAAAAGGTTTTACTTTTATTTGCAGAAGAATAGGGGAGAACTCGGTGGGCACCTTTTTATTCCACAGAGCCTCCCCTTATGGTCCAATTAAGGACAAAATTGTACCAAGGAAAATGTTGCAGGACAGAGCAGGTGCTCTGGGAAACAGCAGGTGATTTTTTTTCCCTATACAGACAGAAAAGCAGAAAAACAAACTGAATGGAGAAAACTATCAGCTTCTTATGAGCAGAGGTCAAGGGCAACTCTGCTGGAGTCTGGAAAGTGCTGGGGAGTTAAGAGCATGGAGCCGCTTGGAACAGCTTTAGATTTAGGACGCAGGGGAGAAATGCTGAAAGCCACTGCCCACACCTACTTACTGCAACCAAACACATCCACTCCAAAGGAAACAGCAGTCTACCCACCCATGGGGTAAGTGGTCACCACTCTACAGATTAGAGGCTCAAACTGCTTGACAGCTTTAGCTGAGTGCTCCCACTGCCACCCACAAGATTTCATTTTGCCCGGTGCCATTTACTCCTAGAACACACAAATCCCCAGTATTGCCTACTGCTCCCATGGGGCAGTGTACATGGGGAAGACGCCAGCACAGCAACACTGTGCTGTTGAACAGGCAGCCAAATAGCTTACTAGGAGCATACTGAGGAACTATTTTGTGGGCTGAGATCCAGAGGATCAGTGGTTTTTTTACCTCTGTTTGTGTTCCCCTGCAATCAAACCACACTTCACAACTTGCAGCAGCACAGAAAGTTACAAGTCTACAACCCAACAAGTTATTCCCTTCCCTGTTCCAACACGAGAAGCACAAAGAGACCGACCAGGATGTGCTGATCTCGCTCAGCCTATGAGTCGCTGTACCTGGAAGCAGGCTGAACTCGACAAACGGACAACCCTTCCCTCACCTGCATAGGCATTTGCCTGCTGCAGCAGTTCGGTGCACGCATGCACATCGGCAAAAGCTCGGATTCCAAGGCAGTTTGTGGGATGCAGCTGGGACTGAAGAAAGTCACAGCAGTTTTTTCTAACATCCATCAATTGCAATAAACTAGCAGCTGGCAACAAAACCTGCAAAGGCAAGAAAGGGGAATTACAGTTAGCAACAAAGAAGGTTTGATTCACAGCCTGCATGAATTGGATGCAACTCCTCTTCAGACAGGGACACATCCCTGTGGGGTACGAGAAGGAAGGTTCAAGTTTTAGCACTATCTGTATGCAGAAGTTCCCCATCTGTGGGTGGAAATGGCTGTTTCATATTGGGCTAGAAGTGGAGCTCTTCTCCTCATGTCTTCTCCCTACAAGACCTACAAGGCAGGTAAAGGGAGGACAAAACACAAGCAATCAGGGATGCACCTGAATTTCTGGTTTTGCTGCAGGTAAGTCCTGCACACAAATATTTACATTTTTTTGCCTCACCCCCCAAAGAGCTTTATATAACTTATATGCATTACCATCGCATTAAAAGACCACAGCAGGCCAGCACACCTAAAAACCTTGAACTTTCATATTTCCAAAAATTTTAACAAAACCATATGAGCTTGTGAGCAGGGTGCCCAAATGGACATGTAAGACAGGGAGTTCACAGAACCTAAGCTTGATGTCAGCAAGCTTCTCAGGAAAGATGGTGGCTTAGTGGGTAGACAGGAACAGTTGGACATGATTATCTCAGAGGTCTTTTCCAACTGAGCGATTCTGTGTGAAAGATGGGGCCAACTATTCAAATCACCAGCTCATTTTCACCACACAAAATGCTGTGGACGCTTGTGGTTCATGACTGCATCTGGAAATCAGGTACTGCTTTGTATTTACAAAACTAAGGGCAGAACAGAGAAACAGAAGTGTATCAGGAATGCGATATCTGCTGCGAAAACCACCTTTGAGGTCAGTGAGTGGGACAGGAAGCAGAAAAATAAAGTCAGTCAGGACGTTACAGCCCCTGACATCAGCTACTTCCTTTCTTATGTCATACAGCAACTGCAGACGTGCCTTATCCCAGCTCTTCTGCAGCTCTGGCTGCTTCACATACGTCCTTCCAACTGGGCATCTGCGCTCACCATCTGAGCACAGATTTCCACAGAATTATTTCCAACTCAAAAAAACCCAAGCAGCTGTTAAACAAAACAAACAGGTTAACAGCATTCACCTCCCTGGATCTCGATGGCAGGAAAGGGAAAAAGGTGACACCACTCCCCCTTCCTCCCTGCCCACCTGCCCCCACAGTCTCATTTCACATCAGGGCAGGACACTCACAACCTGCCCCACATCTTTTCTAAGCCACTGATGCATTCAGCTCCAGCCCAGCTGTACGGTGTCTGGCTGCTGCCAAGCAGCCATCCCAGCAGGCAATCATAAAAAGAAGAAATCAATTAACCCAGGAGCCTGTTCTGGCCCAAGTCTATTGATGCCAGGAGGAGATTAGTTTGTGGTTTTGATTAAATCAAGATAGCAATGCTCTTGCACTTTTGAGACCTAGCTGTGAACCACGTCCTTGTATCAGCAGAAAGGCTGAGCTGCAGCACCTGACGTGCATAAGGGCTTTGGGTAAAGAAGTCGGACTCCTTGCAAACCATGTCTGGTCATAGATCAGCCAGGGCTTCCTCCACGCACCCTACAACCATCTGGTGTGCAAACCTGCAAACCCAGGTGAGCTGCCTACCTCGAGTGCTTTGGGATGTTGCCTCTAACACAGAAGGTGCTCATGACCATCACTAATACCTCCATGCTACAGCTCCCTGGACATCCCAGTACAGCTATTACAGCCTCTACTGGCTTCAAAGGTCAGCCTTTGAAGGAGCCTCACGCCACTGTGGTTATTGGGAAAGGGGCATTATCATATAATATTTTTCAGAAGTAGGATATAAATAGCCTACCAAGAGATGAGTGGATTTTCTCTTTCTTATTTCCCAGCTAAACATCTCACCACTCATCTTGTTTTTACCAGAGAAGGTGAAAAGCAAGCAAAGGATATCCGCTAGCACAAAGTCTGTTTCCCTTGGAAATAACAAGAGGAAATGCCCTGCCTAAACATGCAGCAGGACCAAACTGCAACCCTGTTAATATCCAAGCAAGTTACTCACTTGGGTCTGGATTTGGCTCTTAATACTTGAACTCCAACCACAAATGTGAATGTTTTACAGAGAGCTGGCTTCTCTACCAGATCAGCCTCCATACCAAAACCCGATCAGCTTTCGAAACTATGTCAAAAATATCTGCTGTTACTACTGAGACTGACTTCTTTGCTAAATAAGTTATGTCCAGAACATCATCTACAGTGTGTATATTTATATATATACATATATACATACACACATATACACACACACAGCTATAACCATCTAGTTCACTAGCTGTGCTCTCCTGCTCTGCAGACCCTGTGCCAATCTCAAGTTTTACACAACATTGCCTGTGCAATTAAATACTTTCATAAACCTTTGATGTCTCTGAACTAGAAATACTCTCAGCCAAAAGTGGTCTATGTTGCTACAAGATTCATTCAATAGGCTGGGCATTAATGCTGGGTTAGTTTCCTGCTCTGTCACAGCCTTCCAGGTAACCTTGGCCAAGAGTTACTGTACACCATTCCTCCTCTGCAAAATTGGGAGAGGAGCATTTCCCCAAGGCAGGGAATGTATTAAAGCTTATAAGCAGCTTTGACAATGTAGTCAAACTGGAAGCCAAATAAGGGTACTGGCTGAAATCCTCAGCAGCACACCCAGTGCCACAGCTGAGGCTCACACATCTGCCCAAACAGGGAGACAGCTTCCAAGCATCCTCCCGGGGAATCCATGACCAGGGAAACAGGCAGATTTTGTGTTCGCAAGACAGGTTAAATACTCAGTTTTAAATGATCAGCTCTAAACTGCACAAGTAGTGAAGATAAAACTACATTACTGTAATGTGGCTTTTCAGTGCAAGGAAGGCAATTAGGCTTTATCACTCCCCAGCTGCTACCAGGCAGTGCAGAGGGTGAACAGTGGTGCTTCTATTTGAATGCTCTCTCTGGGTTGAAATAGCCCAGGCAGTGGCACGTGTGACAGGATCAGGGAGCCACAAAACCTCTCCAGGAGTCAGCATGAGAAGGACAAGGGATATAGAGGTGAGGGAGAAAACAAAGGAGCAGCTGGCAACTTCCATCCTGATGTACCTTCTCCAACTCCACAAAACAGAACAGCTACACTATCCCCTAAGATAAACAGAGGAACAAAAATGTGGAGACACATCCACCAGACACTGCACAGTCCTCTAGTGCCAGATCCACAAGTTTCTCCTCACCTTCCTATTAGGCCAATCCAATTTAAAAGACTTTCTGTGGGTCTAGGAAGGGCCCCTAACCCAATCACTGTAACATCCCAGAGAAGTCAGCCCTGCTGTTGACCAGGACTCCAGGAGGGTGATGCAAGGCAAGGAGCTTTTGCTCCAGGGAGGAAGACAGCCCTGGTTTATTATTGCATCTCCTAAAGCTTGAGCTGAAAGACTCTGTGCCTCTCCCTGGGCTTGCACGTACTATAGTTGCAGCTTCTGGAGTGAAGAGAGGGAAGGGAGATGAACTGACCCTTTATCATCAGAACTGCATCTGCCACAGATCCTCTCCTTCCTTTGTTGTGAAGTCTTAAGTCCCTGGGGAAAGCAGAGGTGCAGAAGCACACTTCTGAAAAGTAAACACTACAGCTTCTTGCAAAAGCTTTTTTCCTTTCTCAAGCCATTTTGTATTACAATTATGTCTGCAAAACTGAGAGTTTCAACACCTATTTCCCCCAGATAGTTGATTTCCAGGAAAATCTTCGCTCTTCTTTCTATATGAGCCATATCTTGAACTGTGGTAGCATACAAGGACACACTACACCTCATTCATAAGAATGTATGTGTGAAATCAGGTTAATCAGAACTTTTACCAGGGCCTCATGACAACCCTAATGGTAATGACTTTCTTAATTGGGAGGGTAATTCTCAGGTAATTGAGTGTCATTAGTAAGGATGGGTGGGACACACTGAAAGAGGGCTGTACGCACTGTGCACAGCCAGAGGTGCAGGTGTCCTCACAAGACTGCCTAAGAGATCAAAAAGGCTTCTCCCAAATCTTCTCTTCATTCAGCTCTGCTCAAGGACACCACATTGAGCCTCTTCTCCATCGCTGGACTTTACTCATCACTGAGCTGGCAGGTTTGATATGAGTGTTCGAAAGCACGCAGCAATGCAGTTCAGCTGTAAAACCAAGACATAACTGGAAAATTCAAGGGACTGACACGTTAAAACAGCCAGCTATTCTGTACAGATATGGAGCAGCAGGCTCTGTGCTCTGTTTAACATCTGCCTGTGGTTTCTGTTGAAGCCAACCAGGGCTGCCACATGAGCACCTGTGAACTTCCTCAAGTCGCTTACTTGAGTTTTCCTTACCTTGACTGAAGCTGTACAGCACAACTTTCTCACGAAAAAAAAACTAACAAGCTCCACCTTCAAATGAGATCTTTTTGTCACACATATGAACGAGATGTCTTTACATCTAATCTTGATGCACAAGAGGAACAACAGAAGGCAGCGGGAACAGAAATCCCAGGATGGATTTTCCCGAGACTACAACATGACTGCAATGAAGACAGAAATTCTTCTGTGCCTTCCAAACAAGTAGGAGGTTAAATCCCAAATGTGTGTACAGTGGCAAAACACTGCATGACACAGAAGCTTCTCAATCATCTATCATCCCTGAGCCTTCCTACTAGTGCATCTATACTGCCTTGAAATCGAAATCTCACATTAAAACTGAGGTTCCGATGCATAAAGCAGGATTGCATTTGTCAGGGCCATTCTCACCCACATATCCCAACGGAGTCAGAAGAGAGTATTCGCTCCCACATGGGCTCAGTGCTCTCCTTCATGGAGAGGTGGACTGAAAATCCCCTTTACCCTCCAGTAATTCACTATGTAGACGATGACTGGAACTGACTGCACAGGCTTGGCCCCTTGTACACACATCCTTCCTTACTTAAAAAAACCCAAACATAACACTTTGTGCAATGAAATGACAACCATCTACAAAAATACGTGCTTAGAAAAACAGTCTCACTTCCTGAACCCCATACCAAGGCTATAAAAGCAAAAAGAGACAGGTCTCTATTAGAAAAGAAACAACAAAAGTACTGTGAAAAGGCTTCTTGTTGGGAAGTGCTGGGCACTGCTCAGCACTTGAGCACACCTGGGAACTGCCACATTACCTGCACACCCATGTTACCTTTGCTCCTCATTTTTTTCTCATTTCAATTCCGCTCTCATTTTGTTTTGCTCACAGTCAAGAACTTGTCTTTTAATTTATTCACATGTTTTGGTAGCTTGGCTGCATCTGTTCAGTTAATGCCATTTAGCAATCTTTTTTTCCTCACAGTCTCTAGAATTACATTACCTGGGCACCTATACCCAGAAATTGCTGCTTCCAGCTGCTGAGGAAATCTGAAAAAATGTCCAACTGCCCTTTAAAATGCACCCTCATCAAGCTAGAGCTCGAGACACAGCAATAGACCTCAGGAGATACCTGCTGGGAGAAGAGAAATCCTCACCATGCTCAAGCAAGACCGTGAGGGAACGCTGCTGAAACAACGCAGACTGGCACCACCAAGGTGCCCTTCCAGCTGTGCAGCAGGAGGATGGGACAACGTAAGGGATCAAACCTGCTCACTTCTTCCTAAGACTGACATTGCTAATCCAAACCAGAGACTGCAAGGAGCTTAATATTTTGTTGTTCATGATGTTTGCCTTCACTGCTGTGAACATTTCAAATGAATCACGGAATATCCTTTTCTGTAAACCTTCTGTCCTGTGGCTCCAGGTGAACACTGACCTATTTAAGGCATTCTGTTCAGAAGTAGAACAGCTGGAGACAGGATGGAAATTTTAAACTTTCTATTGGTTTCATCTCAAAATTATATTGAATTCCATTTAAAAATTTCAGCATGGACATTTTTAACACATAATAACGTTTATACTAGTCATTAGTTTATGATCTTGCATTAGATCAGCTTCATTTCTTGGCTCCCATGAATTAATTTACCTCTAGCCTAAAGAGTTATTCACACAGTGGTTATTTAAATAAATCCTGTAGTAAAAGGACCTGCTTTATTAGACCAGGAAAAAAAACACTATGCCCAATCCTTAATATTCCCCAAACTTACTTCTTTTTTATCTTACTGTCTGAGAGGTAGAAGCCAAAATATAGACAGGGCTCTTACTTTAACTCTTTGTAATCCCTAGGCCACTGAAGGCAGGCTTTGGTTAGGTTTTACTTAAAAACACAGCTTTCTAGGTGCTCAGAAAAGACAGCATCTGGGCTTCTTCATAGACCTTCTGGGCAGGCCTATGGTGCCACTGCAGAGCAGGACTGTGCTGGCTCTCCAGCCCGCTCCAGCTCCCACAGCACTGCTTACACCGCGGTGCAGCTGTACTCCAGCACCGAAATGCTCTGATAGGAAAGCAGCCAGAGCAGGCGTAGTCACTTCAAGCAACCTCCATTCAAGGCAGACTGACTGGGCCAGCACACCACATGGCATCCTGAGCTCAGCACATCCCGTGTGCCGAGTGGGTGCTTCTGGGCCACCTAACAGCCAGCGGCATGGAAGGAAAGCACACATTTCAGAAAGTACGTGGATATAGGCTTCACATTTCCCACAGGAGAAGAGAGCGTGGAAATGTCATTTTTCCTCCAGCAACAGAAGATATCATTGGTCCAAGGAACTCCACACCCCAGTTCCCCACTGAAGTAAAGCTGTACCTCAGCTCCTGATGACCCTGACTATACACTGTAATTTAATGTGCGCTACTCAGCAGATAGCAAGTCCAAGCAACCCACAGCTATGTTTGAGCCTCAGCTTCTCTGCTGTAATGGCACCTTGAAGGGCTCCTCACTGCTGGTCCTCAGCCTCAGCGTAGAGCAACCAGGGTCCACGTTCCCACCAATGTGACAACTGCCAGGTTGAGAGCATGCCAGCAAGTCAGATTTGTAAACCTGGAGAGCAAAAGGGGCAAGCAAAGGCACCCAAAGACTTAGGTCATGAAAGACAGCACAGGGCTTCAACTGTGAAGCAAACATAGCTCAGGGTTTTGTCCAAGTTCCTGCAGAAAGAACAACACATTAGCAAGAACCTGCACCCTCTCCGAAGGACTGGAGCAGAAGAGCATGTCCCACTCATAGCAAGTCTCATTTCAAGCAGAGCCAGTCTAATTTTGCCATCTCAATTAGGTCAACAGAATATACGCAGGAGCATCGCCCTTCTCTCTCCAACATCACGGACACAGACTCATTACTCTGACCAACATCCAGGTCACAGAGAGGAAGACAACAGACACAAACTGCCACTTGCAAATAAAAATGGAGACCAACTGAAAAGCATGTCCACACACGAGCTCCTGGCATCCCCTCCAGAAATCTCTGGCTAAGTGCACAGCCGTTTTCTTACCACAAATAAAAGTAGCATCAAAGTAAAAGCTTTACCAGCAGCCACAGCCACGTGACACAGTGAAACACTCTCTTCCTGAGCATCCCACTTTATCTGTAGGCTGCCTTTCAACCGCTCTTTCCACTTCTGGACAAATATTTACCTCAAAGAAATTGAAGACAGAGCATGCACGCAGACACAAAAAAGGAAGAATGCCCTCATTTGAGCAATATATCCCACTCAAAGCTCTGCCAAGCAACTCAAACTACTCAGAAGAATTTAAAAACTAACAGCCAGATTCCTCAACCATGACCTTAAAACAGCATTTGACTCACCGCTTGTTTGAGTCTATTCTGACCTTCGACAGACTGACCCACAAGTCAGCACAGCTTCTTGGAAGGCAAATGCCTGCTCTCATTATAAGAGCTCAACACAAAAGCTAAATGCAACATGACTTAAGCGCGGGGAAAGCAGCAAAGTGCTTCAAGACTAAACACAGGCTGGAAGTAGCTCTTTCCAAGCTCAGCCTTTTACTTTCTGCAGCCTGAAGAGATCATTCACACCCGGAGGACCTGTGTTTTTGAAGTTTCAAGCTTTTCACTTAGGTCTCCACAGGAGCTGCTG